AGTAGAAAAGATGCCGCCCATCGATAGACCAGACCATATTTCTAGGCGTCAGTGGCCGTTGAGACCTAAATCGACTCTGGAGTTTTAACAAGTTTGTTGCTGCGACAGCAGTGCTACACAGCTTGATCGCAAGCCCGAGCGCTGGAACAAGACCAAACCCTACTCCCCACGACTCCCCGATTTCCGAAGTACCGAGCAAAGGCCCCACCAGATCGACGGCTGCCAAGGCCCCTCCAGGGCGGGTGATTCCCAAGGACTGTTCTCAGAGTTGGCATATGCCTCCTAGGGTCCTAGGAGCGTGAAAGGATGCCGCCGGGCTCTCCATCCAAGATTGTTGGCCATGGGTCTGCAGTCCTTGGTCATTTTTCGTGTGGTTTCACGGGGGTGAGCAAGATGCCAGGACGTGAAGAGTCTGAGGGCTCAATTCCTAGAGTCATAGACCTCCAACCCTAGCCATGTCGCAGCCCCAAGAAACCCGCACAAAGGTAGTGCCCCCGCACCCTGAAGCTACATCGCGCAATCAAGACAGCACCTCTCTTGGACAGCGATCCCTGAATCTTGAGAAATCGGTTGGACAGGCAGTTGAAAAGGCGCCGGCTCCTCCGACTCCGGCCCCCTGGCAGGTGCGACAGCAACGACAACAGCAGCAATCACAACCGTCATCCAGTTCCAACGGAAACAATAGTAAAGACGACAGTAGCAGTATTTCATCGTCACGAGAGCAACACCAACAACAACGAGAAGTAGTCACTTATCACACAGGGAGAGAACAACAGCAGTGGCAACAACCAGACGGCCTCATGCGCAACTCCCACAGGTTGATTATGATTTGGAAAGAAAGGCTCCTCTTATAGGAGGCCGAAAGTGTCTCGCGTTTTAATTTTTATCATGCTTTCTTGTGTCATCTAGTAGGGTTCCATGGTCGTCTGGCCGCCACGCAAAAGACCTGCCATGTCGTCACTAGAGGAAGACGATTATGAAAAACGGCCGCGCAACACCTGCAGCAGAGGAGGGGTTTTCTTGCGCAAGACCCCATGCCAAACCCCAACGTTGCGGGCAGGCATCGGCAAAGGCGATGGGGCAGCCAGCTCTGCCCGCTCCAACTCCTGCACCGTGGCAGGCCTGACAACGGACGCAGCCGGGTTGACAGCAAGTTTGTATGCAGGGATAACCACCTCTCAGAAGCTCCACAGCAGAAGTGGCAGCGGCAATGCCAGACCAGGTCTGTCAACAGTATCAGAACACGTGCAGTGGCAATACTTGCAGCAGGAACACCAGATTCACCACATTAATCAACAATTGGCGCGGACACTACAGTTACCACACCAGCAAAGCACGAACTCAACAATCAGACTTGCAACAAGAAATTCAACAATTTTCAGAATCAGAGCATCACCATGTCAGCGCATCATCGAGGGTTGTAGTTTCAGAGGCTGGCCAGCACAGCTCTTTCAGTGGAGGACCTGCGAATTCACGATTAAATTGTCAGCGCAAGCACGGAGCTCTAACAGGGGCTCCTGATCTCGACAGCTCTTTGCCTACGCGCCTCTACACATGCTTGTGAATAAACAGCTGTGTTTCTTTGTTGAAGCGGACTGGTCCTTGTCGCCGTTCCCGCCGTCGTCGCCTCCTCGTTTTGGTGCTTCGCCGTTGTACACATCTCTTTGCCTATGCCTCCTGGACAGGTGCCAACTAAGGCATCATCTCCGCCACCCACAGCATGTCCGCCACCATGGGAGGTGCGCAAACTCTTCAGCATTCATCACAGCGGCTGTGGCTTTTGTAGCGTCTGTCAATGACTGCAGACCCTGGGCCCGAACTCCATCAACCCTGCGGACCCTGCCGCGAACCGCTTGCGCAGGCACCTGCAACCGAGACGGCCCCAGCCCCGCCACCATGGCAGGTGCCCAGTCAGAGTCATGCGAAAACAAAAACCATTGGCAGCGGGGCTCCAACAGCTCAAGTCTGGGGTGTTGGAGTTTTGGAGCTTTTGCGGCTGCAGGGCGGCATGTTAGGTGTTTTGTAAGGCAGTTCAGCGTGCAGTGTTGCTGCTCCAAACAGAACAGGAATGGCACCCCTGTTTGTCGTATGTAGATAGACAGACAGACCGACAGACAGATAGGTAGACAGATAGGAGGCACAAAGACAGATAGACGAGGCCTAGCAGCGCGACGTGACCTATCCCGCTTGCAGCTGTGCTACGATGCAACGAAGCGGCAGTCGCAGCAACAGCAGCTGCCGCTGGAGGAGGCGGAGGAGGAGGAGGAGGCATAATTGGGTGTCCAAGGTGGGCTCAGAACACCAGGATGTGAAGGAGCAGAAGAAGGAACATGAAAAGCAGATGTTGTTCTTGCGGTTCGTCGTTGCTGCATCACTCGCACGTGTTTGTCAGAGCTACGTCGTCCTTAGCGGCACCAACCACTGCCGAGGCACCGGCCAAGCAACCGCCGAAGACCGTAGAAGCACTGCCACCGACGCAGGCATAAGCCGACTGGGTTTGCTTGGGTGGTCTAGTTTTAGAGTTTGCGGATTTTGCCTGTCTTGTCGAGGTTTCATGTTGTTTCCGAGTTGTGACTGTGAGGGCATTTGAACCATGTTTGTGAAAGTTCTTTCAAACAGTAGTAGTCGTCGTCGTGGTCGTGGTAGTTATAGGAGGACCAGGAGGCATGTAGATATGTAGCTGCGGAGGTATGTAGACATGTAGGTACGAAGGTATGTACATGTGTAGAAAGGTCGGTATGCGGGCATGTAGGTATGTACTGGTCAGTGTAGGCATGTATGTATGCATGCATCTCCGCATGCCGGGGCATGTGCACTGGCAGTTACAATTGCATGTGTGCACGCATGTATGTAGGCAGGTAGGTAGGAGGTATGACGCTTGTTGCATACTCAATCCTCCTAGGGGCCACCGAGAACAAAGCCACCGCCGCCTTGCGCGGTGCCGCCAGTGTCCAAATCCAAGGCCCAGGCCTGAGGTTTATGCAAGATGTCGCGTTGACTGTTTGATTCTCTCTTGGTTGGCCTGTGCAGCGCATTCATAATTCCTTTTTGATGAGTAGGCTGGCATGTTCTACTGCAGAGAAACCTAACCAAGCATAAGGCAGCAACGACGGTAATGAATCGGTTTAAGATGCATTGTGATAGGAATAAACGGATCACTGCAATTGTCGGCCTTCAGCGCGGAAACACTATCTCAGTCCAGAACCCAAGTGCTGAAACGAAGCCGCAGAGCCCAACTCAGCTTCGTTTCTACATGAATGGGTGCATAGGTGTGTAGGACATGGTTTTCCATGCCTCAGTAGAAAGACACAACATCAAGCAAGAGACACGGTGTATGAATGTACTTACATAAGTATGTGTTATTATACGTGCATACACGCCACTTATTTCCTCCGCACCAGAACTGCTCGCTCTCGGGATTGGGGGCGGAAGTCTTCGAAGCAGAGGGGTCACGCCGGTCACGCCACAGGTCCTGAAAACCTGACGATCCTGATAGAACCCGTCCAAGCCCTTTGAGATGGTTGGCAGCCTTGAAAGCCCACAACATGAAGGCTGGTCCCGCCTGTGGCATGGCTGTTAAGGCCAAGGCACCGCAACCCGCTGCTGCTCCGTGGCGGCAGCAGTGTTCTGGGGGTCCCAAGAAGCCAACACGCTGCGGTCCTACCAAATGTAGTTTTGAAAGTCTGAGAACTACAAAACTGAAAACGCTCCTTCGTTGTAGAAGCCCTGGAGCATCCTGGAGCTATCTGAGCATTGGGCGACGTAGGGTTGGCGTGCTGGGAACCCGTGTTTTTTTTTTTGCTGTCGTTGCCTTTATGTTTTTTTTGTTCTCGTTGCGCGGACCCAGGAAGCCGGTGAGTGAGTGAACCCCGGTGCCCGCACCGCAGCAGCCACAGCAAAAAAAAAACGCGCCCCGCAACGACAGCAAAAAAAAAAAACGCGCCGCCCCGCACCGACAGCAAAAAAGAACGCGCCCCCGCACCGACAGCAAAAAAAAAACGCGCCCCCGCAACGACAGCAAAAAAAAAAACGCGCCCCCGCAACGACAGCAAAAAAAAAACGCGCCCCCGCAACGACAGCAAAAAAGAAATCGCGCCCCCGGGGACGACCGCCCCCGCAAACAACAGTATCGGGAACGACACAATATCTGGGTGTTTAAGTTGCTCATTTAAGGTTTCTATCAAGTGGTAGTAGTAGTAGTAGTAGTAGTAGTAGTAGTAGTAGTAGTAGTAGTAGTAGTAGTAGTAGTAGTAGTAGTAGTACTAGTAGTACTAGTAGTACTAGTAGTACTAGTAGTACTAGTAGTACTAGTAGTACTAGTACTAGTAGTAGGGAGGGCGTAGCTGTTTTAAGCCGTCTGCAAGCTTGCGTGATCTTGCGTGACAGCATAGAGGTCGTTTCGGGGAACCCACCCTGCATAATATGATATGTGCGTTTTGGAAACAACGCCATTCACCCAGCGAAAAACTTGTTTGCAAATGGGAAGCCTGTCCCGCACGTGCGAGAGTGCCAAGCTTGCTTGACAGCATATATATATATATATATATATATGCGTTGTATTTAAAACCAACCATGCGAGCATCCTGACTCCCCCCCGCCGCCCCTATGATTTTGTTGTAAACCAGCCATGCGAGCATCGTGATTGCGAATGGGGGGGGCTGCGCCCCCCCCAACCCCCCCGCTGTTTTCAGCCGTGTGCAAGGTTACATGACGGCGTAGAAGTCGTTCTTGAAACCCGCGATCCCTGAGATGTGTCTTTTAGAAACCAATACCATTTTTTACCTTGTGACAAGGGTGTTTGCAATCGGGGAGCCTGCGCCGGGCATGCGAGAGTGGCACTTGGTTGACAGCACATATGCGTTTTTTGTTTCAGCCGACCACGCCACCATCATAGAATCGCAAATGTGGGGGGCTGCGCCCCCCTCCAACGCCCCCGCTGTTTAAACCAGCCATCGTGATTGAAAATGGGGGCGGCTGCGCCGCAAGGTTGCATGACAGCCTGGGAGTCGTTCTTGAAACCCGCGATGCCTGCGATGAGTCGTTTAGAGACAAAACACCATTCACCTTGTGACAAGGGTGCTTGCAATTGGGAACCTGCGCCGGGCATGCACCTGCGAAGCAAGAAACCCCGGCACGCGCAACAACACAACGGCGAAACAAAAACAGTAGTTTTGCTTGGCATCGCTGTAAGGTCGGAGCTTACGATACTCAAGTGTCACCTGCTATGCAGTCAGTCGACGCGCCATGCAGGAGCCAAACAAGTAGTAGTAGTAGTAGTAGTAGTAGTAGTAGTAGTAGTAGTAGTAGTAGTAGTTGTTGTTGTTGTCGTAGCAGTAGTAGCAGCAGTAGTAGTAGTCGTAGTAGTGGTAGTAGTGCTAGTAGTAGTAGTAGTAGTAGTCGTCGTCGTCGTAGTAGTAGTAGTAGTAGTAGTAGTAGTAGTAGTAGTAGTTGTAGTAGTAGTAGTAGTAGTAGTAGTAGTAGTAGTAGTAGTAGTAGTAGTAGTAGTAGTAGTAGTAGTAGTAGTAGTATAGAAGTAGTAATATATATGATGATAATAAACAAGCGCCCGGGGAGCACAACGACAGCGAAAAAAAACCGCGCCCCGCAGGCACGACAGCCAAAAAAAAAACGCGCCCCGCAGGGACGACAGCCAACAAAAAAAACGCGCCCCGCAGGGACGACAGCAAAATAAAAACGCGCCCCGCAGGGACGACAGCAAAATAAAAACGCGCCCCGCAGGGACGACAGCAAAAAAAAACGCGCCCCGCAGGGACGACAGCAAAAAAAAAAAAAAAACGCGCCCCCGCCACGACAGCAAAAAAAAAAAAACGCGCCCCGCAGGGACGACAGCAAAAAAAAAAACGCGCCCCGCCACGACAGCAAAAAAGCAGCGACAGCAAAAAAAAAAACACTCTTACCTGGCGTGCTGCAGGGTTGCTTGCCAAGGACTTCCACCCGTAAGCCCTGGAACACAGAAGCAGGAACATCGGCCCATACCCACCGGACTGCACGGATAGACATTGGAGGCCATGGTGTTGCCGAGACAGCCCTCATGATCAAACAAGAATCCTGGTCATCGCGCTATTGGGCGAAACATTACGGGAATGCCGATCTTCTCAATTGCCGTTGTGCTAGTGAATGCAGCGGTATCGGCTACCGAGTATTGGTTAGTGTTGGTTACTGTAATTACCATGATCATGCCCATACGGATAGACATGAAGAGTAACATAGGCAGTAGTTTTTACATACACATACACCGCGAGGCCGCAAACACCATGTGCTAATCGCACGGACAGGAGCAACATCGGCAGTCGTTCCAATGCGGCACTCCAAACAATGATATTGATGATGGCAATCCCGCACGTAGCAAAGGCCACTTTTGAATCGAACATGGAAGAGGAACGATGTCAACATGAAGCAGTCAATAGCACCTGGAGTAGACCAATGCCGAAATCGGGTTCTAGGTTTTAGGGTTTAGGGATTCCGAATGTGCCTTTGTCTATGCCCGATGTTCTCGGACCTGTCCGAAAAAATGTGTCTCTATTCCCGATTTTGCTCCTGTAGCTTCATGAAGATTCGAAGGGCTATGCTGAACATAGCTCCGTGAAATCCCAGCAACCTATGTATGTATGTACGTATGTATGTATGCCAATCTTCACCCGGCTTTCCGAGGCTTTCCTGTCGCCGGAGACGGAAGAAGATGAGGTCGATGAATGTTAATCGCCATGCCGCTGAGAAGCTGCTGAGCTCGGTGTGTCCGAGTGAGGCATTAGCGCTAGGACTGGGCTGCACAGACGGAATGTCCAACACCATGAATGTTCTAGACAATCCGAATACCCGGAGTCACTGTACTTGCAAAACTTCTGGCTAGAGAGCCAATGGCGGGGGCCTATGAGTCCAGGGCCCGGGCTTGGGGTGTCACGCGCGGGTCCAGGCGATTTTCAGATGCTTCCATTCAGGTCTGAAGCCCAGAGTAGGGAATGTGGGAACTCCGATTTAATCGAGACCCAGACAGAGCGCGCCAGCTTGCAGTGCAGAGTGAGAAAAGCTGGAGCCCACGACTATGCGAGAAGAAGTCTGTTGTAGAGATCTGTCGAAGCCCTTGGAAGGCAGCGATTAGGGAGTTCTGCTGCTGTGGTTGTGGTAGCTGGTAGCTGTTGGAGTGTTCATGGGCTCATGAAGCATTGTTATTGCTCTTTATTTTCGGGCTTGAACCTGATAAATCTCGAATCTGTTTGGAGCTACACACTCCTACGCCGTACATCCTCGTGAACCACCCGTAGTCCTAAAGCCTGAAAACCCTGATTTTCATAGGGCGGCGGTAATTTTCGTTTGGGTTTTTAGGCTTTATATGATTCTGAACTGAGGATTTTGAGTTTCTGAAATCGCAAAATATAAGTTGTGTTGTCTGCCCTGACAAACACGACTTCCTTGCGAAAAAGGCTGGGCTGTGCTTTGGAACTGACTGTGCTCATGATGAGTCATTCCGTGCCCGACTGGCTCGGAGTGTCGGTGAGTTCACCAGAATGAAAGGCCGGATTCATGGGTCCTGTACTCCCATTCAGGGCCCATGAACCCTGGACAAAGCCTTAGCCCTATGCCTGCCCTTGATTCTTGCTATTACACATGATATTTTTTTATTCGAGCTGAGATGGCTCAAGATGAGCCAGAGGGTTGTTTGCAAAGTCTGCCGGTAGACTGCAGCCGGTGCTTCTTGGCAGTAGAGTCTTAGGGCAGCACGCTTGCCGAATTTGGAGGAGTCACTGGTTTCAGATCCAGACGGTGAAACTCAGAGGGATTCCTGAAGCTGAGATACTTCGGACAAGCTCCCAGGCCCAGGCCTTGGGATCAAGCCCGCCTCCTGGAGGTTACATGGCCTCGAGTTTCGGCTTGCGGCTTCAACAACCCTTAAGCTGTCCTGCTGCGAAGCTTCGCGCCCGGTTGTTCCGAAAGCCTTCCTTCCCGAAATAGGCGTAAGCAGCAGCTGCTCAGATCTGAAAATGGAAGACAGGAAAGCTTCAAGCCCTTGTGCCGTAAACCCATGTACCAGCCTGTGGGCTTAATGGCTCATCCGTATCTCTGAGGTACACATGGCCAGCCCTGATCGATGCTTTCGCACACATGCTAGGCCAAGGCCTCAGGATATTTTGCTTGCCACAGTTTCTGCAGTGTGGAGCTTGGGTTCGGACATGTTAGAGCTGCCGCTCTGAGGCCCTTGTTGCTGCTTGCCCTCGCCACGTGCGTAGCACTGGTGCCAGCGAAGCAGTCCTTTCAGGCGCGGCTCGCACGGAGCATCGCTGAGCTATCGGGGCCTGGACATCATGATTGTGTCTGACACATGTAGTCTTAAGTTGTCTCCCGAGTCCGGTGGCCCCTCTTCTTCCTGCTGGGAACGCGTAAAATCATCAAGTGCTTGTCTGATGCTGGGCTCTCCAGCTTTCCTGAAACCCTGGAGCGAAGGCTTTGCCCGACACCTCAACCCCATGATTCGGTGTAGGCACTGTTGGCTCGGAAGGGGTTCCATTCCTTCTTGCCCAGGCATTCATGCTTGAAGGCTGCCTAGGGCAATCAAACTTCCCAGGTTGCCTCTGATGGTCGCAGTGGTCCCGAAATGATGGATGCGCTGGACTTGGTCACTGTTGACGAAAACCATCCTTTGACACAAAGCCACCTTGAGTAGCTGAGTAGATCGTATTGATTTCGGGTAGTCTGTGGGTGTCCTTCAGGGCGAGCCGTGAACCCTGTGCAGCCAAGCATGCGACACAAGCTCGTGTCTGCGCGAGACTGCATGTTTCATCCGGCCTTCATCACAGGATAGCGGTGCAACATGGGTTGGCGAACTTAGGCTGCGCCACTCCACTAAACAGCACTATGTTGACAGCCATACCAATAGGGAGAAGCACTGTCATGACCAGGAGCACGAATTACAGAAGAGTCCTTAGGCCTCGAAGACTTCTCATCGAAGCAGCTGCAGAACATCAGAGCTGCTTCTTTCGGCCAGTAGCACCAGTACCACCCGGGGCAACCCTTGTGCTGCACTCCGAATAGCGAAGAAGAAGAGTATGTATGTTTTCATCGACAGGCTTGCAGGCATACATATGAATTTCTCATGCAGTGGTGTTGGCTGAGGACATGTCTGCTTCTGCCAAGGACTCATGCCTGCATTGATGCCCTAGGCTATGGAAAGCACCGGTTGAGCTAGAAGGTGGCGAGGCATCGGAGGGCTGGCCCTAGCGCTTCGGAGAAGAGGCAAAAGATGCGCAAGGGATAGAACGAGTCGCGAAGACCCCCTCCCCCTGCTGCCTTCGCTCTTCGCCAAGATCCGCAACTCCTTCTCGAAATCCTTTTCTCAATGTCAAGATCCTTTTCGCGTCGGTCAAAACAGCAGCCAGCAACCGTTGAACGATCCGGTTGTCAACATCATCTTTAATAATTGCTTATCCCATAGTCATACTCAGAACTTTACTCGCAATTACAATTGCGATCGTCATTATCATCATTATCGTCGCCATCGTTATTGGCATCGTACACTGGCTTCTGTAGCCCCAGGCCCCCCGCGTTTGATTCGTGGATCCTCGCTCCCCGGCCAGGACGACATCGCACATAGCGCCGCCGTGAGAATGCGTCTTGGTTGGGTCTGGCGAAAAAACAAAATTGGGAGCTGTCCTCTTGACAGGATTTTTTGGGTGTCCGGCATTGGAATCGTCAGGGCAGGGTTAAGCTGCACAAGTTCAGTGCCAGAAGCCGCGTTGAGCGTTTTGGGATGCCGTGCTTCTAGATGTGACGCAGGTCGTGCGGGAGTCGCAAGCTGTGCATGCACCTTGTGAGACGCCGCAGCATCAAGGACTATCACAGACTCCGCAGCATCACAGCTCTTTCGCGTGGACGCCAAGAAGGAGTCTCAGGAGGCCCCACCATGCGCCAGTTTGATGTGGAGCATTAGGGAGCAGGGAACCTGCTATGCATGCCCATCCAAAAGAGTGTGTCGTGCTAATTCGTGCGAGTCAAATTCTCGTCTTCGAAGGGCCGGAACGTTGCAAGATTCCAGGGGTGCAAGAAACAGCAGTTGCTGCGAGTAATCGATCGCTTCCTTGCAGACATGGTGGTGCAAAGTCCCCATGATGTGACAGATCCCAAAGGACAGGGAAAGGGGTATCGCTAGCCGCTGTGCCGGTGGCACCACATGAGACTCCACCCTGCATTCTTGCCTTCAAGTCCCAAGCGTCTGCACAGTATCTGCCTGACCTCAGCCCATGCCTGCCAACAATAGACTCCCCATGAAGGCTTGCCTAAGGGGCATCATGATTTCGTATGAAGTGAGATCCTGGTGCTGACGGCGAGGCCATCAAGGAGGAACATGCCGGAGAGGCCACTCTGTTTGATTCGTACCCATCCTCTAAAACCTCCCGAATGTCAAACCCCGCAGATGTGTGAATGTATGTAAAATTAGGTGCACAGGGGTGGGATGTAACCAGCGAAACGGAAAAGCCGTCCCACCCCCACGACAATCAAACATGAGGCACATGGAAACCATCAGGGAATTGCCAAATCTGGCGGCCACTCAGGCTGTCATCAGAAGGATCTTTCCAACTAGCAAGAGAACGTTCGGCCGACAAGGGATGCTGTGTATTCCGTTGCAAACCCTAAGCCTAAACCTCAAAGCACCAGCCAAACTACACTACGAATTAAGTTGGTGAATCGGGTTCGGACCTCAACAGTGCCGGATCTTCAGGGGTATCGGCTGAATAGATTTCTGCGCCACCTCAGCTGTTGAATTAGTACATGCCAACGCGGCTGCGTCCGATTCGGACTCTGCGCCTTGGTGAAGGCGTGATGTAGGTTTCTATGCATGTTTGCTATGCTCCATATACTTATGCATCAACTCTCAGCCTTAAGCCACAACACCGCAAGGCATCCTTAGAACAGAGTGCAAGTCTTTGTGAAAGGCGGAGGTCCACACTACCCAAGGCCAGACAAAGTACATGCGCCAGGCCGTGGTCCAAGAGTCCAAGTCTGCTGAGATTTTGTTGGGGCTTTGACGCTCTGTGTCATGTTCTAAGAGGCCTGCAATGCAGAGTCGATGGCTTTACGCTTGGGTTTTCGGGTCCAGGGATGGGATGTAGAGCTTGGGATTTCAGAGGTTTCGGCTTGCAGGCTTTTGGGGCAGGTCATGCTCGGCTGGTGGCTCGGCTGGTGACTGCTGTGGTACCTGTCGGGTCTGTGAGCCTCGAGTTAAGGTCTCAGCTTGTCTGTGGGTTTGTTTATATAGGGGCCGATGCCTTCACGTTGGCCTGGTTGAGGGTCGCTGTTGGCACTCTTCCATTGTATTGTGCCAACACAGGTGGCACGTGGAGTCTGAGAAAGTCCGAAGCTAAGCACAGGAGGCCTCCACTGCATCGGCCGCAACGCCCCCGCCACGGGGCATCTGTCGCGGAGGCATGGATCTGGGTCGAAGGATGTCTTGGGCTTTAAGAAGCTGTACGCCCAGGGTAGTTGGGATGCGGGGTTCAGGACTTATGTGGCCTTTAGCTTTGGGTCTCATGTTTTACGCAAATGTGGAGGCCAGGATGCTGCGGGTGTAGGTGTCAGATGGGGTTTTGGGTGTCAGATGGGTTTGGTGTTTGGATGTTGTGGGAGGAGTGTGGGTAGACAAAGACAGTCGAGTCGGAGTTCACTTCTGCAGAACCCATACAAGACGCTGTCCAGGCGATCTCATGCAA